TAATTGCTGATTGCAATTGAGTATTAAATAGATCCGTAATTTTTTACATTTAGTGTTATTTAAGGAATTCGCCCTAAAGAAATCGGAGGGCGCATTTTTGGCCCAAAATTACTTCAGATTTCCGATAGAAATATAATCTCTACTATAATAATTAAATGAATATGTAAAATACACAATGTTTCTTAAAAGCTTTATTTCTATATACAGTGAGCATCATAAGTCTTACCCCCCCCCCCTAACTAACTCGTTACTGGAGTCTTTTCAGGAAAATCGCCGAGACAGGTCGATTTTTGATTTTTACAATGTACATTCTTGTATGATTAGTTTACCCTTAATTTTATCCCTTACTGGAGGGGAGCAACCCTTTCGAAAAATTTAAATGGCATGGGGTAGTGAGTGATAGCTCATTTAAGAGGGTTTTATTCTCTATTCAACCGTGCAAAAAAATTTAAAATTTGCTTCATTACGTGTTGGTTTATTAATGTTTAAAAATAACAAAACCTCATAAAATAGGAAAGCAACTAAACTAACAGTGGCCTTCTAATGGCAAAAAGTCTTACTTCACGTCTGAACCAAAACCGAAATCATGCAGGGCCGAATTTTAATTCTAAGGATGAGTGCGCTACGTTAATTTCCGTTATTCTGAAACAACAATTAGTCGAGAATTAATGAAGCAAATTTCAACATTTTTTACACGGTTGAATAGAGAATAAAACCCTCACTCACCACCCCATGCCATTTAAATTTTTCGAAAGGGCTGCTCCCCTCCAGTAAGGGATGAAATTAAGGGTAAACTATTCATACAAAACTGTACATTGTAGAAATCAAAATCGACGTGTCTCGGCGATTTTCCTGAAAAGACTCCAGTAACGAGTTAGTTAGGGGGGGTAAGACTTATGGTGCTCACTGTATAACAATATTACATTTGTGGGAATTACATAAAAGATTGTAATTCCGTAGTTTTAGCCCTAGTGAATAAGAGATCATGGAGAGGTTTCTGTGTTTTTTCAATATTATATTTTGTAGTAACTTTTAGCAATTTTTCAATTTTTTATTTTTTTCAGTTTGTTTCATTCAGTTAGTACATTAATTTGATTAATTTTAGTTAGTATGAGTAAATAAATATTAGTGGATTATTTTTGTTATTTTCTCTTAAATTAAAAAATATTCCTTCGTTTTTCATCTTGATAACAATGGAAATTTCACCAATTCTCCTTTTTTCTCTTACCCACTAGGCGTGTCTGAAGATGAAGTGAGCACACTTTGAAATCGGTCGCAGTTTTTTAAATACAAATCTTTTGTGAGATAAAAAGGACCTTTTTCTTTCTTTTTCCAACTTTAATCCAAACAACTCACACATGGCTACCTTAAGTTTAAAGTCAAGAGATACATTTTTAAAATTAATTTTTAAAAATTCGAAATACCCCAGAAAAAATCTGGAGATTTTTTTTCGTAAAATGCCCTACATCTTTTAACATATATAGAATCTAAAAACAGGTTTTGTGGTCTAAATTTATTATTATGGCCACTACAAATAGTAATAGTTTTTGATCATAAATGCAATACAATATTGGGCTTTCCATAAAAAATATAACTTCGACATATCACAATTTTTAGGGCATCATGTATATTTCAAAACAATTTTAAAATGAAGCTCTCTTATTGGCTTACGAGTAGCCATAGAAAAACATCAAAACTGTTAGAGTTTATGCACCAAAAACTGGACAAAATATTCAAAAAGGCTATTTATACTCGTTTTATATTTAGTACTAGTGCTTCTTTTTTATTAATAATCTTTTGTAATGTAAAAAATGTAATCTGGACAACTACATCTAGGATAAACAAACGCAGATGTAGTAGATGTGTCCGATGTGGATAAACAAACGCTCGAGATGTAAAAAATGCATCGGATGTGGATATTCAAACCCGGCAATAATCATATGTGTATTGTCAATTATCATTATCCGTTTTCTACTAAAAACAAGGGCCAAATACGTCATTAATTCATTTGACAGAAAAGAAGTAATTTAAGATTTAACATTAACGTTGAACCTGTCAACTATTAAGCATAAATATTAATGCTAATACTAATCATAAATCGAGTATAGTTAAATGTCCCCATTACATTATGAAGGATCAACTTAATTCCTAATCATAATACTAATGCAAATACTAATAATAAGGGAGAATAAATAGACCCTAAGATGCACTGGCAATAAATGTACTTTATTCTTGTTGTTTTTTGTCTGAATCTGTTCCTAGATGTAATACTAAATAATCTTTATGCATAATTTAAAAACAAGACGTTTTATTCTAAATTTAAGGACGGTATTTTTCAATTTAAGAAACCCTCATGCCTATTTTCTTAAGAAAAAGAAGTTTTATTTTCAATTAAAGCACGGTACTTTTCAGTTTAAGAACCCTCATACTTATTTCAAGCATGGATGTTCTTAAAAAAATCTTGAACAAGAATTGTTATTCTCAATTTAAGCACGGTATTTTTTAGTTTAAGAACCCTTATACCTATTTCAAGTATAGTTGTTCTTAAAAAAGCTTGTGCGAAACAACAATTCGGAAATTTTATAGGAGACCAAAAAAACTATTTTATTTTTGTTCTAAAACATAAGTAATGATTTGTTTTATAATAGTATATTATGCAACGATCATGTAATGATGGTTATTAATACACGAGCATTAACCGGGATACGAAACGAGCCAAAGGCGAGTTTCGTATGGTTTATGCGAGTGTTTTAATAACCATTACATGAGAGTTGCATACGCTATTTTTTCTACACCCGATAAATAATCAAGACCTATAAATATTATATTTATATTGGTATTGAACACAATAACAGTAATTACTCGTATTTCTATAAAAAATTCTACAAAATTGTAATTAATGGTATTACTTCAGGTATTGGTATTTCCCTAGATTTTTGCGGTAAAATATTTTGTACTGTATTTTCTGCTTTCTCCGATATGTGTGGAGGAGTCTTCTATATCGCTAATATCAGACATTTTAATATTATAATTATCGAAGTTTAGCTACCTACGAAAATTTAATACGTTTTGACAACTAAAATAATTACATAGGAACCTAGGACAAACGTCAAACAGCATGTTTGATTGAAAAATTGTAGGTTTCTATTGATTAAAAATCTGTATCGTAATGAAAAATCTGTATCATAATGGGTATCATTATGAAACGGATTATGGGCATATAAGTGCATTATTATAATACGGGTGTAGAAAAATGTATTTACTATAAACGAACATAACGAGATTATTACAGCAAAAAACTATCCTAACCTAAAAACTATGCACATACTTGTTATTTGAGTCTATCAAATTTCGTGTTTTCGAGAGTTTAGAATTTTAGAAATTACTCAAAAACCGCTGGATAATATAATTGAAGTGTACCGTTTATCCTGATCTGTTTTTTTCGCGAGGAACCATCATTCTGCTTAAGTTTTTACTAGTGTAAATACATTGAGGTTAAGATGCCAAAAAATCCAAAATGCTCTCTCAATATAGTCAATGATGGAAATGCGCCCCGTTGCGATAGCTGTGGGGTCTTTTTCCATTTGGATGAAAAGTGCTCCGGATTGTGTGCCAGTGAGCAGCGTTCAATTGTTGTTCAAAAACGCTCAATGATCTTTTTCTGTGAAGACTGCAAAACTTCCTTCGAGAAACTTCTTATACTGATAAATAAATTAGCTGCTCTAGAGAGCAAAGTTAATTCCTTGTAGGACAAGGTTACCAGCATTGAGGAGAAAATTCAAACTTTAAAAACTGAGGGCTCCAGTTCGCTAAACTGTGACTCAGTATCTTACGAAATTCATGATCGCATTACTCGAGCAAGCAACTTGATGTTCTACAATGTTAAAGAATCATCTAGTACTAAATTGCAAGAAGTATCTATCAACAACGTGGTCACCTTAAGATGGATTAAAGGTGACGCCACATCGAAAGGTTACCGTCTTGCTGATTCATTAGCCAAGAAAGCAGCCAACCAAATACTTTTTGGACCTAGCCCTTCTATTAGCCTGACAAAATCGGTTGTGAAATTCAAGGAAAGATGGGATGAAACAAGAAACTGCAGAGTTGCCAGGGAGCTCTTAAGTTATTCTGACAACACTGCAGCAAACAAATACTTGATTATGACTAGACAGAATCTGCGCCTAGTCATAGGCATTCTGACTGGTCATTGCCAAGTACGAAAGCATCTCTATATTATGGGGTTGTCACAGTCCACACTCTGCAGAGGGTGCGAACAAGAAGATGAGACCATCGAGCATATCCTTTACGATTGTTCGACGCTCTCATTTATTAGAAGATTTGTTTTCGGCGAGTATCGGCTAACACCGGCCGATACAAGAGAAGCACCTCTAGGAGGTGCCTATCTTTTCAGGAGGATGCACACCCTCTACACATTACAGATACAGAGACGTTACAAATATAAAAATTTTCTTCTTTTTCTGAAATAAACTACATTTACGAGGTACTGTGCTTTAATTATAGATTACTCCAAGTACATTCTATTGGTGTCTTTTCGACAATAATGTGAAGGAAGCTTGTTTAAATTTTGAAGAAACTCAGTGAGAAACCTGTTATTTTCAAAAATATCTTGTCTTTTTTTTCTCTCCTGCTTATTTCGGTTTGGTCGCTACTTGCTCAGGACCGTACGGACCATTCTTTGAGGCTAAGAGTATTTAGGTACATTTTCTTACAGTCATGGATTTATTATTAATAATAAAAGAATAATTTAGAGTTTGGGATCTGCGAGAGGTTTCAATTTTTTTTTGAAGGCCTCTTTTTATCACATACTTTGACGGTATTTCCAACAAAATCTTTTCGCTGCTCCCAAGTCATATCATCCCAGAACTTTTTGAATAGCTTTTCTCGATCCTCGTTTGAAATTAGAAAACATTTTCTTGTAGCACTCTTTACATTCTCTTTATTTAAACATTTACACCTTTCTTTTATTTTTCTTTCATTACTTTTTGTTTTAAAACGTTTTTTTTTTTATTTTTGGGCTGTGTGAATCCCAAGTACCTTTTCTCCGTCAGTCTTAGTTTTTCATTAATAACCCTTTTATTGCACCCTTTACGCTTTGTATTTACATGTTGACTTGCAGGTTGATCTTCTAAATAGTTATCCTCTTCTAATACTTGCGCTTGCGGTTCTTGATCTAAATAATTATCTTCGACTATGCTTTCTTCAGATGAGTCAGCGTCGTTGCGCTCCATAGGCGTCGTAATCGGAATCAGAAAGGTTTTCTTCGAGTATTATCATGAGAGAATTTGTAACGCTTTGATCCAAACTGGCTTCTACATTATTTATCATAGTTTATTTCAAAGCTAGGATCTGATATTGTAGATTTCATGATTTCCAAATTCGCAATTTGTTCAGAAGAACTCTTAAGAATTCCTGGCTCCGAAATACTTTCGAATACGACCTCCGCGTTACTGTTACTGTTCCAAGTTAAGCTCGAGAAAAGACTTATTGTTAAGAAACTTAATTTACCATGTTATGATTTTTATTTTAAACACCCTTCCTGTTTAATTTAAGAACGCAGACTAAAAAAATCTTGATTTTGAAATTAACAAAGTTTGTGTTTATTTACAGCTTTAAATTCAAAAATTAAACACGGCAATGTTAATTTAAGAATGCCTGGATTCAAATAAAGAATATTTTTACTTCAATTAACAATTAGAGTCGTGCTGAATTTTAAATACGCATTCTTGATTACATACTTAGGCAAATTTCTCTGTGTGAACCGTGGAAAATCTTCATTGCGAGGTAATTCGAAAAGAAATTCTTTATTGTTCGGAAACAACTCTTCGGAATTTCCTTAAATCCAACAATTTTGAATATAAAAGCATAAATAAGAATCATACGCTCTCGGAAAGTAGTCGATGATTAATCGTATATTTGGATAAAACCTGGTTCGATACTCACGACACTGTGACAAAAGGGTAAATAATAATAGTGACGAATGTTCAACTTCATTACCTATTACAATGTACTATTACAGTATTACAATGTACTATTTTTGAGCCATTGTTCGAAAAAACTCTACTCCCAAAATTGTCAAATCATAGTGTAATAGTTAAGGACAACGCGATCTGTTATTTAAGATTAGAATAATTCCAAAATTTTCCTGAAAAGAATCGGAAAAACAAGAAGTTTTTATGAAGAAAATTACACAAAAAAAAAACAAATTTGTCGTATCTACTAAGGATTATAAAAAGGAGTATGCTGTTGATTAATTAGCGGCTTATAGTGGAAATTCTGTTCTTAAACTACCACCTTATTTTTTTATATTGAACTCAAATGAGTTAATTTGGGCGCAATTTAAAACTAATGTAAGAAGAAACAATTTAAACCCGAAATTTTCTGAAGCTGTCGGTAATTTAATTAAAGAAGGAGTGGAAGAAAATACACCGGCAAGTTGGAGAAAAGTAATAGACCATGTAATTGGGGGGAAAAGGAATATGGCAAATATTTGAGAACAATTGTTAATAGTAATTATAGTTAATCTGAATGATTGATGAATATGAATAAATTTTTTACCATTTATCGTTTTTTTATTAACCTCGAAAAATGTAACTTTTTAATGAAATAAAATCATTTTTTTAATTTTACATGAAAGTAAAATAGGACAAAAATACACAAATGTATTTACTATATAAATAAATTAATATGGAACTTATGGCACACACAAATAAAATAATAGTTTTTACTTTTTTAAATTCGATAAAAACAAAAATATATTGTTTAAATTATTAATAAACGACTTTGAAGTCAGTCAGATTAAAACTCGCGTCTCGTAAACACAAATTCTAATCCCAATCCAAAATCTCTCAATTTTTTGTGTAGAAAGACGATAAAATATTGCTTGCTGCGTTTGAATATCCACATCGGATGCATCTGTGATGTGTGAATTTTTTATCACGTAATAGAGAATTAGCTTGAAATGTAGATGTATTAAACAAATGCTCTAGACTTTATTGGTCACGTGATACAATGACAATGACAAGTTAGGCAAATTTTATATATTTTAAGTTCTCTTTCTTTCGTTCGTGTCAACTCGACCCGTTTTGTTCATATAAGTACCTTAATAATAAAATAAACAGTATTTGCACAATTTCAGAGAGATGAAGATAAAGGATAAAAGAGGAGCTTACACAGGACCGACTTGGTTTCAAAGTAAACAAATCTCTTTGCTTTGTCCAAACAGTAGAACGAGAAAATTTTGTTAAATGGGTTGCAGAAGTGTTTGTATTAAAAATTAATAACTTGAGGAAATCCTAATGGCTTTTAAAATCTGAGGAGGAATACGTTTTTATTATTAATTTTAGCTGTTTGCGTTTCAGGAGTCGTCTCTCATAAAATTGTGTTTTCTTAAGAAAATAATTATCGTCCACGGTGAAACTCAATTGAAACCTAATTATGTCTCTTTTGCTTGCTAATTAATAATGAAGTTTAAATAACAGTAAGTTATGAATTTAAACGGCATGGTTTAATAAATGAGTAATTGTTATAACAAAAAGTCAACTACAATAATATTAATTTTTTATTTATTTATTTCTACACCACTCAACAGAAACCAATTACAAAGTGGGAGTAATCACAATATAGAAATTAGTACAAAAAGAAAAATATTGTAAATATTCAGTTGAACATAATATATGAAAAAGAAAAAATACAGAGTTTAGTTTAGACAGACATTACGTATACATGTAAAACTGCTATGAAATAAGGCAAGCTGGTCACTGAATTTATTACAAATATGACAGTTTGTAATTTAATAGCGAATTTAATAAAACATTAGTTCGAGGAGTCGGTGAGTAAAAGAAATAATATAATATGATCCATTAATGTTAAAAGTCCAATATCTATTTAAAGATAGGACACTTTGATATTTTCCGGTTGTTTTCAATGATCTCGTCCTTTTAACACGCCATTGCCAATAATAACCCAATTTCATTGTAAACTCCGAAAATGCAAGGTTGCAATTCCCATTTTTGACGCAGTGGGTTCAAAACAAAAATTAATGGACAGACAATTTATGTTTTTCAGGTTATTTTTTATATTTATTAAAAATTACCAATACCAATTACTACTAGGTATCTTTATACATACCTAATCTTTGTTATTACATTACACCGTGTTTTTTTTGGGATTGCAGTAACCTTTAAATTATTTTAGAATTAGAAATTTTGTAAGAATTGACTTTTAGCCGTTGTTAAGCAATCTTGTATATTGTAGAATATGATGTAATAAACTTGTTCTTGTCGGTACGTTTTTGTCTATTATCTACCCGGTATAATGTTAAATTTAAACCTTCAAATAAAATGTTTTGACTATAAAACATCTACGTGAAATAAGGATTCCAAATCCGTAAAAACATTTAAGAACCGTCAATCCAATGTCAAGTTATAGCATTTCAAAAATTTTGCTACCCAAATTTTATGTTTAGTATTGTGTACAAGACCTAAGGGCCTTAATCCAAAAACTAACAAAAATATCTAGTGATATTGATGTTACCTTAATAACGAACCATATTGCAATGACCAAAAAATTTTCTTGCGGCAATTTCACTCATACAAATTTTTTGATTTTTTGCATGACTTCATTGATATATAATAAACCTATGGTCCTACAAAAAATATACGTCATGTAGCTCAATCCGAAAACAACTAGTTTTTAAAATCTGGAAGCCGCGTTCAAAATTTTGCATTCCTGTTGAAAATATTGAACTTTAAATTGTGCCTAAAAATCTTTGTGTAAGTTCGAGTGGCCAGCAGTTTAGTTATTTTTCAAATAAAGTATATATTTTATTTAGATCGTGGTTTTCTGTATCTGTAATGTGTGAAGGGTGGGTTACTCCCACGGCACTTAGGCTTCCCTAGGCCCATTGTGCATCCTCCTAAGATCATAGACACCTCCTAGCTCGTAGTTTTAATTTTCGATCGCTAATACTTAGTAAATGAATTTGGTGATGATAAAAGCATTTAACTACCGAAATTTCTTTAAAACTATACAACCAAAATGTAGTAAAATGCACTTAGTCATTATTTCTTGTATTTACAAACAGTTAATTGATAAAAATATCTTCAACTTAATTAATCTACGGTAATTTGGACATTACTGAAAGCTCTAATACAATATGATGAACAATACTTTTAAATTAATTAAGAAGTTTATAAAATCCTATTTTATGTCTTATAAAGAGTTGAAATTGGCCAAGAGTTGTATTTGGTATATTTAATCTTTTTGTAGTTTCCCCTCCTCACGAGCTAGTTCAATTTTTATTTTTTATGCCTGCTGATGACCCTTGTGAGGTCGAAACTAATAGCAATATAAAACATTATCAATAAATTTACTTGTATCTAATAAATCTTGTCATATTTAAAAATGAACGATTTCTTTACTTATATTGTAATAAAACCTAATTTAAACAATTTAAGAAAACACGTCGCATCAAGCGCAAAACTTCTTCGATATTTCAGAATTCAAGCAAACATTTATTCGATTCATAAAATTTATAATATTTTCGTAAAAACTTACCTAAAAGTCCGCGGCAACTTCGAACAGTCGGCACTAAAAACTTCAGAGTTGAAAGTTCAAACTCTCGACTTCAACCCACCGTACAGGAATGGCCAACCACTTGCTGCGCTTTGGCTTCAAATAGGTGCGTGTGATAGATAATAACAAACCAGATTTTCAGACATCTGGAGTTTCTCCAGAACGTGCTCATAGACCGGAATATCTAGGGATTGAAGTCAAGTTCAGGGATGCATGCTCGTCAAGGATAACGTACTGGGAGATGCTGAAAAAACTTTGCGCTCGGTTTAGATTTCTTCATTTATGTAAATTATAAGATAACAAAATTATACCCAAAATTATTTTACATAGTTTTTATTTAAAAAATTAAATGGAAAATAGCAAAAGTGAAGGCTGATACTGGAATCACACTTTCCTTTACGTTTTATGTTACCTATGAACTCTGAATTCTTGAAGAATCAGCTGCATGGGGCTGTTTAAAACATTTCCATGGAGGGGCAATTCTTATGAGCAAGGTCAAAACGTTCTAGCCTATAGTCGAAATGTATAGCGAAAAAAATCAAAATCACAATTCCAGGGCAGACGCCCCTCTTTGCCTAGTCTGGTGGCGCACTTGATCAGCTGACTCTTGAAGAAGGTGTACCGAATACATTTTTGATATAAGATATTGAAATTG